GGAAAGAAGGAGCTAGGGCATAGGGTGAAATATTCAATGCTAGTATCATTTTGAAGTTAAAGTTGTATTGCGCGCAAATTTTTACTTAACTGTGAAATTTCCCTCAGTTTGAGCAGGGAAAAAGATGTTATAAAATTCGGATATTGAATTAGATATGATATATATAAAGATAGAATAAAGTAACGAATAAATGATTATCGAATCCAGAATTGAATGTATAGTTTTAATGTATAATGTTTTATGACTAGACTTCACACTTAAGGCTTTCGCAAATGACCGCTTCCGAATCTCAAGTGACAAACGATTTAGCTGGTGAGATTTGTCCTTGAATCAATTTACTGCACTATAAGTAAATAATTAAGATATAGTTAGATAAGACAATACATAAGTAAATAGAATATAATGAGGTACCGAAGGTCGCCTCATGACACTTCCCCCTCTAGAAAAAAATTTATCTTAGTATAAATTTTGAATCAGGCAGGATAATGAGAGAGAAAATAAGCACCGTAATGGGTAAGTGATAACCTAATCAATAGGCTAGTATGGCAGAGCTTACAAAGTTTTAAAGTTTATCATGCTCTTCGGTTCTTGTTTTCTTAAACGGAGTAGTTTGCTCCTTAGTCCTAGGAATCGGCACTTTCCGAACAATTGGGGTGAATGGCGTAGTAATTTGGTCGGCGAGTGGCGTAGTAATTTGATCAGCGTTGTGTCCGTGTGACAAAGGCTTCGCAGGGTCAGATTCAGTTACACTCTTAACTGAATGGCGAAGAGGATCTCCATAAAACCTCGTTGGTTTCTTAGACCGATTAGATGATCGAAACTCGCTCGAAGATTGAGAGGTAGGATTGTCAACCTCCACATGGCCAGTATTTGCTGAATCCTCTGTCGCAGTCTGAGGGACCTTGTCTGAAGTCTGTGGCAGATCCTGGGGTGGTGTTACCGCCCCTGTAGTAGAAGTCAAGGCGGGTTGAGTTGGGGGATCGACAATCGGAGTGGTTGAAGTAGCGATCACAGGAGCCAATCCTTGAGGCGTTGAAACCAGTGCCTCCACTAATTCGAGCTGGGGGCCAGTGATCAATGAGTCCTCGCTCGACGACTCTGCTGTCAAGTCAATCATCTTGCCCTTCGAAGGTTCATTTGACTGCCTTGTAGCTGAAGTAGTAGCTGGTTGAGATTGAGGCCGAGGAGCAATTCGTTGTTGCAAGCGTTCTCCCACTGTGCCAGGCGTAGCTGAAAACTTAGGGTGATTAAAATTATGTCCTAGGCTTATGTGATTTTTCCGATAAACTTTTCCTTTGTCGGTAATGTAAGTATGATCCGTAACGCGAGTAATCTTGATTTTTGCTAATTTGAACAGAGGCTTTCCCGAATTTCGATCAAGGACTTTCCGAAAGATTTTGACTCTTAGAGGATCTTGTAAAACTAATTTTTCTAATTTACGTGTTTTTGAGAGTCTTTTAGGCCTCGAACAGGACGACACGTTCATTCTCTGTGAATGCGAGAGTGCTGGAGCTGACGTATCGCGAGCGTTGTCGTAGAAGCGTAGGGTTCCCTTTGTGATCCCTGTCTTGAGCGAGTTTGCGAGGTCGCTATTACGAGCCGCCAATTCGCGGAGAAGATCTTGTCCTTGTTGTGGGGGCACATTCCGTTTCCACTGCTTCCAGGTGTTAGCTGCCTTTGCAAGGTTCTCCAAGGCTTTATACAGTTGACTATCCGTGATACGCTCACCCACGCCAAAGAGTGGCTGGAACTTAAAGGGGATTTCTGGGCTGTGTGACGATCCTCTGGGTACAACTTTAGCCCTATCGCGGCTGTAATCCTGGCTTGACCGTTGCTCCGGAGTTAGGAGGTTCCTTTCAAGTCCTTGCGCTGAAGTAGGAGAATGAACAACATTATCACGTGCTAATGAAAACTCAGTATTAGGCTTCCTCCCAAAGTGTAACTCAAACGGAGATACTTTTAACGTAGAATGCTTAGTTTTTCGAATATCGTCGATAATTTGTTGTAAAGTTGACTTCAGGTTTTTAAAATTAGGATCTAATTTTTCTGTTCCTAACTTCCGTTTTATGGTCTGGATCGATCTCTCCACAAGCCCACAACTCCGATGATCCCCCACCGCTGTGAGGATGAGTTTAATACCTCTCATTTTGCAAAATTTTTTAACGACGTCAGAATGAAATCCAGATCCGTGATCAGTCCTAATGCTTTCTGGTATGCCATGATTACGAATATATGATCGCAAAAATTTGACTATTTTTTTCGCACTGGTTGATTTAGTTAACATCACCGAGGGAAACTTAGAAAAACAACCTAAAATGTAGATTTTCCCCTTCTTATCATCTATTAACGGACCCGCGAAATCAAGTTGCAATTCTTGATTTGGAGCTGACAAAGTTGGTAACGGCCCAGCTGAGTTATAGGTCGCAGAAGTTTTGATGTTTTTACCAAATAGAGTACACTCCGGGCATTTTTCGCAGACGTTGACAATTTGGCGGTTAAGAAATGGCCACCAAATATACTCCGAGGCGTCCATCATGGCCGCTTGGCCTGGGTGCGAGCGATGAAGTCGGATCAGGATAGCACTTCGTAACTGTTCGGGTATGGCTAGTTTGTTGTCTATCAGTACACAGTTGTTTACTACCGCCGCTTTTGTCCAGAATTGGGCCATGTAGGTCCCCAGTTTGTTAAAGGATTGTACATCCTTATTAATGATTGCAGTCCTCATCGGTCCGAGGAACGGGTCTTCTCCTGTCAGCTCTCCCAGCAGATCCACATCAAATAGTCCTGGCAATCCGACCACCTTCTTCTTGTCCTGAGTGACTAGCGGTTTGTGGTTGTTGATAGCATAAACCCCCATTCGAAGTACCTCTCCTCTTCTGGCTTGTCTTGTCAGCCGCTGCCTCCGGCACTTATCGAGGAAACGAGTGAGGGCCTTTAGCGTATTCGGTCCTCGAGTGACCACGAAACGTTCTCGAGAATGTCTCTGTCTGGCAATGTTTCGGGAACGTATTTGATCAATACGGCTCGGGCGATCCATAGGGCGAACTGTAGATATCTTAGGTCTTATTTGACTGGAGGTGCAAAAATTAGGGGAACTTGTAGAAAAGTTTTCGACAAAATTGATGAGATTTGTTTGTTCGATCGTAGTATTTGCAAAGTCAACAGTATTAGTAGAGTTATTTAGAGTAGAGTTAAGAGTAGTATTTTGAGCGAGATTATTTGAAGTATCCATATCGTAACTGATTTCTAAGTTGTAAGGTCGGAGGCAATGAGTTTGAGCCAAAACTTTTGGTTTAGCGTATCTCATTTGCATACTGTGCTGTGATTGGTCGAGAGTACCAGAGCATGAAACGTCGACCTCTCGTGGCGATGTTAAATACTCACGTTTTTGCATACGAGCATACGATTGGCTGGTTGACTGAGAGCAGGAACTGACGCCCTCTAGTGGCGAGAAGTAACGACGATTAATTAGCATATCCTTTTGGGATTGGTTAACAGATTGAGTACTGTTCGCGACGCCCTCTTGAGGCGACGAGCTGAATTGTTTGCAACAGTATGATTGGTCAGATGAATCGAACGTTGATTGGTCTGTTGTATGAGTTAAGAGGTAGCTAATGTTGCCTCCAATTTCACCAAGCGATCTGATTGGTCGGAACTCGTTATACTGTGAAATTTGCCCCACCGGCACAATTTGAGGTTTAGACTGAGTACTAATCAAATTTAAAGCATTATGAAAAGCTTGAATAGATTTGATGACAAATAATTCGTCATGCGACGATGGCAACGGTGCTTCAAAAGTCGGGTATCTAGACAAATAATCGACGATGCCTAGAGAGGAACCGGGTATATGTTCGATTTGATAATCGAACGGAATGAGGCGGTCCGCCCAGCGAGAGAGTCGTGACTGATAAGATTTTTTTACCATACGTTTCATTGAGGGCGGAAATGATGGCCTTATGATCGGTTAGAATAACAAATCGTGTACCAAGTAAATATGTACGGAAATGTTCGCACGACCATACAATAGCCAGAAGCTCTAACTCATTGGTACTATACTTGATTTCCGCGTAGTTTAGAAACCTAGAGGCAAACGCAATCGGGGCCCGAACATTTGGCTCTACTTCTTGTTCCAAACAGGCCCCCAGCCCGCTATGACTGGCATCACATTTAACACGCGAAGCTTTCGAAGCATCGTAGTGAAACAAATTAGCGATGTTTGCGATGAGGTTTAAGATCTTTTGAAACGCAATAGTTTGCTCTTCCCCCCACAGAAAGGATTTCTTATTCTCCGCTTTTAGCGAAGCTCTAAATGCGACTGTGTATTTGTGCAAATCCGGGATCAAACGTTGAAGATGATTGAGTGTACCCATAAACGATCTTACCTGTTTAAGAGTTTTGGGTGGCAACAGGGATTTGATTGCCTCTATTTTTGAGAATTTCGGAGCGTAACCGTTTTCATCGATTTCGTACCCTAACCAGACTAGTTTATTAACTGAAAAATCACATTTACTAAGTTTCAACGCCCATCCTTCTTCATCCAATCGACTAATGACTCTTTTGACTAGTACATTATGATCTTCAACTCTTCCTTTAGTGACAACCAGTATATCATCGAGGTAACATATGACACCCTCCAATCCTTGTAACGTACAGTCCATCACTTTCTGAAATTCCGTAGGCATGTCCGTCAGTCCGTAGAAACCAGTCTTGCCTCTCCGCACAAAATTGAAGTTACAATGACTACTGGTTAGTTCCGATAAAGGTAATTGACTGAAAGCGTATTTAAGGTCAAGAGAAGTAAACCACACCTCCCCAGGTGTGTCTTTAGTTATAATTTGAGCCGCAGAGTCAATCAATTCATGCATATTAGGCATTTGATATTTGTTTTGCCAGATCTGGGCATTCATAGGTTTAGCATTCAGTGCGAGTTTTATAGACCCGTCTTTCTTTGCTGTTAGGACTATGGGTGCAATGAAATGATCCGTTGTACACTTTTCTAACTATTCAATGTGCTTGTCTTTAATTAACTTTTTGATCTCAGCCGCGACCCGATCTTGCAAATGTATAGGGACTTTTCGACCTTTAACTTGTCTGGGCACCAACGGGTCTTTAAAATTTGTGAATACTTTATGGTTTTTAGATCTCCCCAGTCTGCTGAATACATTAGGGTACCTTTTGACAAAGTGGTTCCTCCAGAATTTTGAGGTCGGGTCCGATTCCTCATCTTCCTCGGCGCAGCTAACTTCTGCCGGTCTGCGTTGCACCGTTTCAATTCCTAACTTCTCATGAAGGTTCAAACCAAGTAAATTTCGAGTACAATTTTCGGAAACCAAGAAACACGCCTTATCGATTTTCCATCCATTCGATGTAATAGGGATTTCCAGAGAACCAAACAGTTTAATTGGTTTCTTGTTATAATCGACATAAGTAACGTCTAAAGGATGTCTCGCGATGTCCATAAATTTAATGTTGGGAATCCACTTCATGAGTATATCCGCCGTTTTCTTGTTTAAAAAGGATACGGGACTTCCAGTGTCCACCGTGGAATAGAAAAAAGAGTTACCGGACCGTAACTGAATGCTGAGGCTCCTTGGTTGTCCTCCCGCTGTCTTTAGAAGCTCCACATTGTTAATCTGCACAACATCTAATGCCATGACCCCATATTCCGGCTCGCTGTCACCATTTACGTCAATTAGATTACACTCTTGATCTGTAGCCATCTCTTCATTTTGTATCATGTTAACGCGTCGTCTCGTAGTGTTACACACCTTAGCAAAATGACCCTTCTTTTTGCAGGCATTACAAGTAGCTTCTCTAGCCGGGCATGACCGGCGATGTTCCAAAGAAAACGGGTTGCGACAAAAATAGCATGGTTTATTTTGATTTTGTCGTTGGTTAGGACGAGATACACCACCTCCCCGGCTGCTATTTCCTTGATTCTTAAATTGTTGTACTGACGAAGTTGGTTCCTGTTTGACTCGAATAGAGTTTGTAGAATTAAAAGTAGCGTTGTTATGTGGGAGCAATTTCTGAAATTGTTCTGATGTTTTAGCCCCTTTCTAGTTTTCCAAAGCCAGTTGTAGAGTATCATCAAGATTAGCTTTTGCTCTGATTAGTTGCCTCTGAACTTCCACATCGCGAATGTGGCCAATGAACAAATCTTTCAATGTTGCTCTTTCCTGATCGATCGGCCAATTACATAACGCGGTTTGAGCGCTAAGTCGGGCGTAGAATGATGAGAATGAGTCATTATCCTGCATGAAAATTGTATTGTACAGCTTAATCCTTTCGACTGTGTAATCACGCTCTGCTTGAAGACATCTTCACAACACTTATGAAAATCTATGAACGAGCTAGTATTGAGTTCCAAATGAGGGTAAGAATCCAAAAATCGTTTTTTCCCTTCATTTCTCAGGGCGAAGAAAAGTCGCGATTTCAAACGCGCCTCTGCCTCATGGTAACACCAGTTATTTCCAATGCGAGGTCCTTTTCTTCTCCTCTCTTGATTGTACTCATCGATTCTTCTATTAGCTGCTGCAATTCGGAGGTTCCTATTGGCCGCATCTGCGGCATTTTCATCAGCACTCGGTGCTTCGGGCTTCGGGTAAGGTTCATCCACTAACTCTGCTGGGGCAACTAGTAACTCCCCCGGTGAGATGTTGTCTTTGAGACTCACCGCCAAAAAATTGTCCCACCCCCAAGTCTCCCAAATGAAAGGTGGGTTAACCGATGTTCTTGCCCAAAAGGGTGGTATTCCGAGTAGGTCAGTCCTGTCTTCATTCACAGGAACTGCTGGCTGCGCCATGAGATTTCCCTCAGTTTGAGTAGGGAAAAAGATGTTATAAAATTCAGATATTGAATTAGATATGATAGATATATAGATAGAATAAAGTAACGAATAAATGATTATCGAATCCAGAATTGAATGTATAGTTTTAAGGTATAATGTTTTATGACTTGACTTCACACTTAAGGCTTTCGCAAATGACCGCTTCCGAATCTCAAGTGACAAACGAATTAGCTGGTGAGATTTGTCCTTGAATCAATTTACTGCACTATAAGTAAATAATTAAGATATAGTTAGATAAGACAATACATAAGTAAATAGAATAGAAGTAATAGATTTGCCGAGGCTTGCAGAATTCAGTAGTAGTGTTTAAGTATATCTTTTCTGCTTACAAAGTTTATAAGTGGATCCACTCGACCTTAAATTCTTAACCTAATTTTTTTCTACAGAAAATTGCTTCTTAGCTGGAGGATTTTGACCTAGTAGAGCTGGTTTTAAAAAAAGAACTCATTACAACTGGTTTCATAGGAACAGAAGAAGAAGAAGAAGAAGAAGAAGAAGAAGAAGGCGAAAAGACAAAAAAGAAGACAACTATGTACTAAGGATATGATGAATATGATACAAATGTACAAAAACTGAGCGTTGATTAAACTATGCATGCTTATTGCCCAAAATTTTACCTCACACTACCTTTCTTCCGAATTTCTCTAAGATCCAAAACAGTATTATTTCTTGGATGTCTGTTTTTGCTTTTAACGCTTCTTGTAAAAAAAAAATAACAGAGCCCAGAAGATACAGTGCTACTTGCGCGGCCACCTGGGCTGAGGCGCCCATTTCATGATTCGACCAAAACGGCCGAATGATGTCTGATTTTTGTCTCAAATTAACCAGTGTCTCTTGTTTACTTCCGGTAACTCTTGTTTTTAATCTAATAGAAAGTAGAAGCAAGCCTTTGATAGCAGAGCGAGCCAATATTTCCTTCGGTTCAGGAGGTTACAAAATTGTTCCTCCTTCTGCGCACCTTGCGCGCTAAGGAGGATAATGTCTGCTATAATCTTGTGTATATGAACACTTTTTAATTGTTTTTAACTTTCTGAGATTGACGCTCATTGTTCACGTTTTTATTAGTCTTGTAAACATGCAGCTGCTGTGTTTTGCTCTCTTATGCAAACCAATCTTGTGAAAACTCTTCTCAAATAAGTGTCTGCGAGTTTGAAGCTACTTTTATCAAAAGGCATATATTGAGCTCTTGAGCGTATTTTGATCGTTTTATTACAAATCAGAATTTGTAGTTCACTATTTAACGTTATCCAAATCCTGTTCCTTCTTATTTTTTTTCTGTTCTCTACGTAATCCATCACGGCTATACGTTTTGCATAAAGTTAGTGAATGATTTTTGATAGAGATCCCTCTGTTTACTGCTGCAGGTCCGCGACTTAAGAAAAGACTTTGTAAGTCGCGCCGCATACCGTTTTCAGACTGGATTTCGCAGTCGTTTCGCGGGCTTAAGACGCGCCGTCAGTCTTTTCTTAGGACGCGCCGTCAGTCTTTTCTTAAGTCGCGCCGTCAGTCTTTTCTTAAGTCGCGCCGTCAGTCTTTTCTTAAATCGCGCCGTCAGTTTTTTCCTAAGTCGCGGCGTCAGAAAAGACTTAAGCGGCGCGACTCAAGAAAATACCGACGCCGCGACTTAAAAAAAAAAGACTTTAGCGGCGCGACTTAAGATAAGACAGACGGCGCGACTTAAGATAAGACCTAAGCGGCGCTACTTAAGATAAGACCGACAGCGCGACTTAAGAAAAGATCTAAGCGGCGCGACTTAAGAAAAGAGCGAAGCGGCCTGACTTAACAAAGGACATAAGCGGCGCGACTTAAGATAAGACCGACGGTGCGATTTATGATAAGACCGAAGGCGCGACTTAAGAATATACCGAAGCGGCTGACTTAACAAAAGACACAAGCGGCGCGACTTAAGATAAGACCGACGGCGCGACTTAAGATAAGACCGACGGCGCGACTTAAGAAAAGGTTTTTGGTATTTTGCTTAGTCGCGCATGTCGCCGCGGTTTATTCTCAGTCGCGCCGGTCTGGAATTGAAAATTTTTAGTCGCGCCTGTCTGGAATTGAAAATTTTCAGTCGCGCCGTTTGCGCCATTACCTTAGGTCGCGCCGGTCCCGGCGGTTTTTTGAATCGCGTCGGGTTTTTTTTTCAGTCGCGCTGCTCTTGAATTGCCAATCATCGGTCGCGCCGGTCTGAAATTGCCAATATAAAGTCGGGCCGGTCTGGAATTGCCAAATTTTGGGTCGCGCCGGTCTTTTCTTAAGTCGCAGACCTCGATCCGGGCATACCCAGACTTTCGTGACAAAATTTTGGCATGTTTTTCGGTTTGACTTTGGGTCTTTTCAGTTATACCGCCCCCTAAATGGTTACATTTGGCAATCCAAATTTCGAGTTGAAATTGAAAGAGCGAAAGCGAGTGAAACAAACAATTAGATATCACTCGCGTGCAATTAGCAGCTGCTCTATTAGGAAACCTAGTGATAACTTTGTCAAATGCTTTTGTTTCCTAATCGAGCAGCTGCTTATTGCACCTGAGTGGTTTTGAAGTGTTTGTTTCATTCGCTTTTGCGCCGCTGTCAATTTCAACTGGAAGTTTGAATTGCCAAAATTATTTATTCATCTAGGGGGTGCATAATCGAATAGAAAAAACTTGGCTTTTCCATATGATCCACAATGATCCGTCGCGACATAATTGAGGAGAAAAAAGGCAAATTTGCCAGCTTGCTATTTTAGCTTGCTATTTTTAAAACTTATGCTATTTTGCTATTTTTAAAACTTATGGTCGTGGTTGACTGTACAGGTTTTAACTATCAATTGTATGGCTCTCATGGACCCCTTTGCTAATCAGCCTGCTGGACTTCCCTCCATCGCCAAATCTGAATTTGAGAGGACGAGGACGGCACAACGACACCATCAGCCAAAGTAAGTTCATAATCGTCTTTCAAGCTATTGTTTTCTATTAACTTCTACTTAAAATCATTTGGCAGATTGTAGTAAAGTCAGTTTAATTCATTATTTATCCTAATCGATTATTGTTCCAAATTTCGCTGGTGTGAAAATTTTTTTGAATTTAGTTGATTTTTTTTCATACCAAGTCAGGTACTGCACATAAGATAGATCGAATCCAGTGGCAGATTGAGGTTTTCCTCCAGGAGGGGATTTTCAAAGAAAAGGAAAAGTTTGATGACTATTTTAAGTTAAGGAATTGATTTTGCAAGCTCTCTAAAAATATCAAAAAGGTACTATTTTGACTACTTTTTCTGCGCCACAGGCATCTTGATGAAAAAAAGCCGCTTCAATATGCTGTGTTTGGGCAGTTTTTGGAAGCTTCGACCAAAAAACGCCAATTTTTGGCGCGCCTTCTTTCAAAATTAGTATATATTGGCGCTGAAGGTGCCTTTAGAAAAACTTTAGGGTCGGTCGGCGGCAAATGATTTTGTTGAACACTATCAAAAGGCGGGTCTTTGTGGTTGATGAACAGAATTCGAGTCCCTGAGGCGCATATCACAGAAAAACTCTCTTTTCGAAAAATGATTATCGATTTAAAAAAAGTTTTTAAAATTCAATCTGTTTTTGCTACCCCAAATCCTACTTGCAACTACTCTTAATCTATTTATTTTGGTAAATAGTTATTCATCTTCTTCGTAGCACCCTGTGGTAAGTTATTTTTAGGGTCAGTCTGTTCAAACACAAAACTTTTTCAGCTAATAAAAACATCTGGCAGATAAATTTAATACTTTCTTTATTGAGAAAATTGAGAGCGTCATTGCTTCATTGAAACCTCATAACTTTTATTACCGTGACTCAAATGAAACATTAGCCAGAGACAAAGTGAAATTTAGTTCGTTCAATAAAGTTACTTGTGATGATATTTATAAAGCAATTGCATCCATGTCCAATGCTACCAGCCCCTGCGATTCTATGCCAACTGAGATTATGAAGAAAATTCAAAAAAGCTGGGTGCCAACTTTTACTGGCATACTGAACAATTGTTTACAGAAAGGACATTTCCCAAATGTTTTCAAGTTAGGCATTATAAGTCCTTTTCTGAAGAAAGCAACACTTGATAGAAATCTGTTGTCTTCTTATAGACCTGTTACCCAATTATCTTTTTCATCCAAAATTTTTGAGAGAGTAATCTCGATTCAATTGCTGCATCTTTTAAACAAGCTTGATATTCTCGATCCTTATCAATCAGCGTATCGTAAAGGATATAGCACTGAATTAGCACTTTTGAACACCAGTAATGACATTCTTAACAAGCTTTCAAGCAAATGCCCCGTAATCTTAGTGGCTCTTGACTTAAGTGCTGCCTTTGACACGGTCTCTCATGATATTTTATTACGCCGTCTGGAAAATTACACTGGACTTGAAGGAGCAGCTCTTGAACTTTGTAAGTCTTATTTATGTGGTCGCTACCAGGCAGTTAAAATTAGTAGCTGGTTATCTTCGACTGAATCTGTGAAAAATGGAGTTCCCCAAGGATCCATATTAGGTCCTCTATTTTTTAGCATTTACCTTTTACCTCTACGGTCTCTCTTTTTATCTCTTGATTTGAATTATCAAATTTATGCGGATGATGGTTTAATTTACTTATCAGCCGCAGATTTAAATAGTTCAGTTGATCATCTGAATGCAAGTCTAGTCAAAATTACCAAATGGTTTGAAATGAATAATTTGAAAATAAATTCTGATAAAACAGAAGTTCTGTTTGTTGACAGGAAGGTTGCAAGAGAAATAAACATACGTGTTAATAATGAAATTGTCAAATCAGAAGACACACTTACAGTGCTTGGTTTTATTTTTGATTCCAAATTTAACTTACAACGACAAATCAATTCTGTTTGTAGCTCGGCCTATTACATTCTGCGGAAACTTTTTAGCATAAAAGCTTTCCTTTCTTTTGAGACCCGACATTTACTCTGTCAATCCCTTATACTTAGCCGCCTTGACTATTGCAATAGCCTATATTTTGGTTTACCCAATTACCTTTTGATGAAACTGCAGAAAATACAAAATTCAGCTGGACGATTTGTATTCCAACTCAAGAAAGGAACACCAACCAGCCCTTATCTACATGATCTACATTGGTTACCAGTCTCGAAGCGAATTGAGTTCAAATTACTGTGCATTGTTTTCAAAGTACTAAACCGAAACTATTTATGTCCAGCATTTTTAAGAGACATACTCAAATTAAAACAAAATAGCTATAGCTTGCGTGATGGTCCAAAATTGGTAGTACCCAGAGTTAATTCAAGTTTAGGTAGAAGATCTTTCAGCTATTGTGGAGCAAAACTTTGGAATTCACTGCCCCAGAAAATGCGAGAAGAAACGGACTTTCAGTTATTCAGAAAATCACTGAAGACACATTTATTCAGATCTCATTATTACACATCGGCCACGTACTAAGGAGACAGACAAAACAAACACCTTTGAGTACCAAAAAGGGTGTATAATCCAGCAATGATGATGATGATGATGATTCCACTTAAAGGTTTTGAAAGCCACGCTCATATTGATATAAATAGAACTAACATCTGGATTTTATACGGATCTTGCGTCTCCTATCTAAAATCCTATTTTTTAACGTTTTTGACTAAAGTCACTCTGTTTTGGTCGTGAAAAGTGATTGAGTCTTAGATACAGCCATAAATTTAGGCCTATATTAACAATAATAAATGTTATGAATATGCGTTGTTTTCATCGAACGACAGATAATCTCAAACATAAGTTTCCGAATTTTATTCAAACCAGAAGTTTCCTATTATTAAAATTGTTTTTTGGTCGAAGTGCAAATTGCAGGCAATAATTATCCCAAATTGGCCAGCCATACCATTTTCAAACCCTAATAGTGCAAGAAAAGAATAGCATGTGAAATATCTTACTGCTTTCGTTCTCGAGGTATCGAATAATTGTTTTAAAAAATTGCGGTCCGAAATGCTAGTTAGTTGCAAGTCGTTTGAAGCGTAAACGGATAAATTTTATACTATAGAGAAACATTGAACGGCTATTTTGAACGGCTAAATTCTAAGAAAACTTTCATCAGTTCAGAGGAAATACCTATAAGACTGGTTTACTAGAGCGAAACCCCGACTGTTGAAAACATATAAAAAGAAGTTTTTTTTTCCACTTTATCCCCCCATTTATTATATTAAAAACATAGATGTGGTAAACGTCTCGTATCCAAGTAATAAAACCAAATTTGGCCCGATATACTCTGTCGTATATGTGCGTTACAGGAACACAACAAATGGCTCGTTAATTGTACTAAATTGTCAGATTAGAAGTTTTTCATTCCCCCATAGCTTCACCAAAAATCATCTCAGATACAGAGACCATGAATTTGAGCTCCTGATGACAAAAAGAAACCTTCTGACTCTCAAGCCTCCAATCAATGATTTTGATTTTACGGTGGCTCTAGGGGCAGGTACATGAGTTTTTGTAATGAAACCGATTAAAGGTGCCTACAACTAACGAATTTTCAAAATTTTTCAGCAAAAGAAGTAGTTTTTTATACATAAAAACTCCGCTTTTTTATTCTACAATAAAACTAATGTTTTCAAATCAAACACCCTATTGTTCAGTAGGGGCAAAACTTGTTGAGATGGTGCCATATACCATTTTTTAGATGTATTTTTTTTGACATTTGCAAGAAATTTCTCGTCAGCTGTTGCATTTAGGCTTGATTAGTTGTATATCTAAGTTTTCTTATCTATTGTATCTAGATTGATTTCAAACAAATTCAGGGCAGCACTTGGCAACCCTTGTGGGTTCGCTAGCCGTCCGATCCTTGTTTTCGATGTATTTAGAGTTAAATCAACTGATTAAAAAAATAAGTAACATAGAGAAATTAATTTTTCTTCTTCTTCTTCTTCTTCTTCTTCTTCTAAAATTTTTCTGATGGTATAAAACATTGCCGTCAAAAACGTTCAGATAAAAACTGATCGCATAAAAAACCACCCTAAGCATAATTAATTTGGAAAAAACATAACTTGCAAGCAAAGGGTTTAGAATTAGAACAAAGCAAATTCTCACTATCGTTCTCTGTTTTGAAGCCGTTCATATCAGAATACCGAGTTCATCAAAAACGCGAAGAATTTTTTTTTGCTCAGATTTAGTTTATGTATTATTTACAATGGAGTCAATTAGACAAGGATTTTGTTGCAGATGATCCCAGTCGGCCACTGTAGTTTTTATTGAGAATGAAATTTTCATGAGCTGAAAAAACTTCACCTGCTCATGTTTGCTTTTTGTTCAAAGTAGTCTAAAACATTTGATGTCCTTGGAAGTATCTGAAGCAAAGCAATTAATGGCTAACTTTTCACTGTAATCCCAACTGAATGATTTTTAAATCTTCCATCAACTCATCTTTGTGCTATAGGTTTAACTGATACCATACCAATAATTGAAAAAAAAATGCAAGCAAACTAATACTTTGGTCTTGCGCTGTTCATCAGAGTCCAATTCATTATACGTTATTTCATCAACGCTTCGTATGAACCAATAGCGATCAGTACCATTGCATTCATTTTTTTCGTTGACGTTGATTGCGCCTTCCAACAGAACAATGCTCGAGGTGGATACTCAAGGTTTGAAGCAAACTAGACACAGGTGAGTTTGTATATTAAAAATTCGTCGTTTGATTGAAGAAGCTCATGAATTCTGGCTTACAGCCCGTATTATTATCGATGGAAAGATCTTTGGAGATTTTCCTGGATGCTTAAATACCAAAGTGACGCTTTCTAGAAAGCTATCATAGAAAAGCTATCATTGCTTTTCGTTTAGAAGTCTAAAATCTTAAATGATTAAATGATTATCATCCTATTTAATCATTGTTCTCCCTTTTAAATCTATAAAATGCTGAATCCAATATTCCAGAAAAAAAAAGAAATAAAACCCAGAATTGTGAACAAGTGCACCTCAAAAGGTAGGAGTCTCAAAAAAGGACGGTGACAAAAGTTGCTGAGAGTTTCATATGAATTATTATGGTGTATCGGTTTTTGCTAAATTTTCCATAATTTTCACCGTTTTTAAGCTAGCTTTTTGGTTGACTTGTTTGCTTTATTTATGAATTGTAGAAAAAACCCGAATCAATTTTTGAAACAATTAAATGAAACATCTTTTCTTTCGGTCAAACAAAATGAAGGTATAACTTGCTGTGCAATTAGCTTTTTCTTTTTTTCTAACTGAGTAATTTTTTGCCCGGAGCGTTATGAAAGACTCCAAAAGAAAGGTTCAATCTTAGCTACATTTGATAGTTTTTGTAAATCAAGCATATTTGCCAACACTTTTTCCATGAAAAAAGAATAGCAAAACAAAAGAAAAATCAAAAAATGTTTATCTTTTTTTTCCATATTTTTAAAAAAGACGCTGAAACGCGCTAAAAAACATTTTCACAAACTAAACTTTTCGAAAAAAAAGTATCCTGCTGTTTTTTTTTCTACTCGCTTGCTTTATTCGCTCAAAGTTAAAATTAAAAATTTCGAACGTTATTTTTCCGACATTGAGACAACAATATTTTATATTGTTTACACCACGTCTAAAAGGCTAAAAGCTTTATTTAATTTATCAGTTGACCCAGTCCGATAGTTATTTATGACACCAGACTTGGCGTAAAAAAAACTGAATTTCATTCAAATTCAAAGTTCCTACCTTTTTCAGTGGTCAGAACAGAAACTTATTCGTATTTCATTTGCATGAATAAGCCTTTATTATAATTTAAAACGAGAATATTGATAATAAAAAAATTCATAAATCCTTCGTGCTAATTTTGAGCAAACTAAAATTTCATGAGTCTTTTTTGTCTAAGTGAGAAATATAGCAAATTGAGCAAGTCAATCAAAGTCAATTCTAGAAAAAAAGTTTTCTTATTTTAAAACCCAAGTATGTCGTACTGAATTCGACAAAATGCGAAGTAAATTGTCCACATCATTGTTAGATGAAATTTGGATAGAGAAAAACTACGAACCCTGCCATCCAAAGTGCAACTAATAGTAAACTCTATTTATTTGTTGATTTTTGTCGATTCGAATAATCTGATGAAACTGAAATTTCCGTCTAAAAACAATGCGATTTAATTTTGAAAAAAGATGCCACACGAAAAATTCCAAAATCTTTATCTTTTTCTGCTCGGTCTAAACGTAAGCCATTGTAAGAAAAATTGAAGGAAAACCCTGTGTTTTATCTGATGTCCAGATAATTTGAACCAACACAGGATGTAAGCTCACACAAAACAGAGTGAAGCCAATCAAAATTTACTTTTGAGTTTTATTGTTACGACTTTCGAAAAAAGTGTCGCAATATTTGTGACCGGGTTCTCCAGACCAAATTTGACTTTTATCTAGCAGTCTCAGACCAATTTTGAAATCTGAAAAACATTATTCACCAGGGTTCAATAATGAAGAAATACTTTACCTGTGGTTATTTTTGTTTCGACTTTCACAAGGAGAGTAACGGAATATTTGTGCTCGGGTGGTTTTTTCTTCAGGCAAAATTCGACTTTTTAACTAGCCATCTTTGAAGGATTTTTTTTATATCATTCAAAAGACATTGCTGTTCTGAGCTTAAATTTGAAATATTTTGTCCTTACTTTAAGTTTTAACTTGAGGTGTTTCGCCTTTGATCATTTTCCGTAAAGTTATGGTGGTTTAAAGATTGCCTTTTTGGCCAATTTGGGACAATTAACGCACGATATATTTCGCGCTACTAACGTGTAAGTGGAGATTCAGTCCGTCCTAGAAATCGTTGCAAATTGGTTGAAAGAAGCTTATTTGCCATATTTGATTTGTTACTAGGAGCGAAATCTATCACTTTGTACTTCATATCGCGACTCGGGAGATGATTTTCACAAAAAATCTCAACTTTTAATAAAAACTTTTTTCATTTGCTCTACTACATTGAGTTTTTTCAAATTATTACTTCTCTAGAGACTTTATAAGGCAGTCGAACATTAAGGGTTTCGACCGGATACAATTAATCATAATATTCCGAGTTTGGTAACGAAAGGAATGGAATTTTTGTGCTCGGGCGTTTTTTTTTTTCTTCAGACAAATTTCGATTTTTTAACTAGCCGTTTTTGATTAAGTTTTTTTTTTATCATTCGAAAAACATTGTTTCCCTGATTTAAACTAAAAAAATACACCTGTGATTAATTTTTTTTGTGTCTTATGGAGGTCTAAATATTGCCATTTTGGCCAATTTGGGACAATCAACGCGCGATATATTGCACGCTATTAACGCGTCAGCGGAGATTTTAATCATCTTAGAGATCATTCGAAAAAAGTTGATGGAAGCTTATGTGCCATAATTGATTTGTTACTAGGAGCGAAACTCATCACTCTACTTTTTGTGGCGTGTGGGGTATGATTTTCACAAAATGTCTCAATTTTTAAATAATTATTTTTTCTTTTTTTATTATGTTTAATTTTTTCATGTTTTTACTGCTCCATAGACCTTAAAAGGCAGTCGAAACATACAGGGCTTCACCCTGATACGACCAATCTTGTTCAATTTTTGTCATCTTGGTTTCGAATTGACCAAACTCTGTCGCAATAGAGTTGACATAAAGATGCAAACTCCACTTCTCAACGAGATTCAATATAATAGTTTGGATTTCAAAAATTATTTATGTTCACATTGTGACAAGGAGGTCCCGATTTTTGTTTTTTCATTGTTTTCTGAGATTAATTGTTTTTCATTCTGGGAATATAAGCAACAGTCGCAATAACTGTACAAAACGAAAAATTTGGAAAGTTTGAACGCATTTCTTCAAATCGAGTTGACATTAGACACAAACTGACGTGAGCAATCGCTCATAGAGGTTTTACCCAAAATCAAACGTAATTTTCTAAGCAAACTTGGAACCATAGTTTACCCCTTAAAAATGTGCCAATTTTAGTCAATGAAAAAATACGCTAAAACCGCCAAATCAATTGCTATGCAAAATATAATAAAAAGCTTCTTAAATAGTTTAAAAAATTTTAAAGAAAGTATAATCTCCAAGAACGTTTTATATTTTTTTAATTTTTTTTATGTTTCACTGATTGATAGACCTTTAAAAGCAATCGGGACCTTTCAGGAGGACTTCGCCCTGATACGAGCAATCTTGTTTGCTTTGTTATAGAGTTTGAATATGGTACTGTTTTAACGACTAGAATTCGATTTGGGATAATGAAAGACGACATGCGTTTTTATTTGTAATTGTAAGTAAGAGGCATTCTATTTTTGATACTTAGTTATGTATTGAAATAATAAGACTGTCGACTGAACTTGCCTAAACTTAAAGCAATGGAATGTTTCACCGCGTTTAAAAACTTAATGCGTTGGTCATCACAGATAAAAACTTGCATACAATCAGGGGCGGGTCCAGGATTTTCTCGAGGGGTGGGGGCGGATTTTCAATTTTTTTTGGATGTTTCGACGACCTTTTCTAATTAATTCAACCGGCTCTTTTTCCTTTTTCCCCACCTGCAAATTTCTATAATTAAAATTACTGTTCACGTAGTCCGATTGTCATGAAAATTGACATGCAGACTAACTAGGCCATGAGAAACATTTTTGGTTTTCATAATCAACCTTGTAAAACCACTCGCTAGACTATAAAATTGCTGCTGGTGTGAGGTGGAGGGAGGAAAAAGAGGCAGGCAAAGTTTTGAAAAAACATGTCAAAAAAGGCGTTTTTAGACACTTTTTAGAAAATTTTGACCAAAAACTTGCGTTTTTTCGGCGCGCGCTCCCGGCTCAAAATTAGTACATACTGGCACCAAAGGCGCCTTTAAAAAATTTTTAGGGTCGAATCTCTGAGGGGAGCGGGGAAGGCAGGTCCCATTAAATCCGCCCATGCATACAATATTCCAACATTTTGGCCTAATTGCCTTTTTCAAATCCTCAGAAACATGGTTGATGATCAAAGATATTTTGTTGAGCTCAACGACAATTTTTTCATCTTTCTTTTGCTCAAATTTGTCTGAATAATCACCCCGAGCATCAACACTCCAACACTGAGACTAGTAAATATTTTTATTAAATTGCAAGTTATTGTTCAAAGTGCGGTTGTTAATATTGTTTTGCCCTCGACCTCGAATGATTTATTTTGAGTTAATCATAATTTCGAACAAAAAACACGACCTGCACCATAATTAATTCCCTTCACTTTGTGAAATTGTTGGAACAAATTAGAATAAATAGAATAAATTAATTACAAATTAATAGGGTTGTACAGATAAAATTTGTTAATATTTTTAGCAGGAAATTGCTTATAATGATTGATAAAAAAATTTTTATGACTCTAAATAGCATCAATAAAAATCAGTTAAAGTTTTCGTATTAGAATAGAAAAATAGCGCATCGATAGTGTGGGAAGTTTAATTTTAGAAGAAATTTCTAGAAAATAAGTATTTGCTTTTCTTAGCAAGAACAAATGATTCGGCTGAAGAAGAGCAAACTAACCTGCAGCTATAACAGGAATCATGAAATTTACAGAGGCTTGAAATAAATGCTTTCCTTAAAATCATTAAAAAGTTTGAAACAACAAGGAATCTCAATGAACAAGGATATGCTAAATATGGGGCTAGGTCTTCTACCAGACCGACCTTTTACCAGACCACAATGCA